TTTTTAAAACTTGTAGTAGAGGACACTTGATGTTAATACAGTTTTTTCAAATATAATTCATTAATTAAATTAAAAAATGAATAAATAGTAACAAACATAAAGATAATAGTCCAACAGCGTATATAAAAGGAAAATCGTTCTTAATGTCTCTGTAACGCAAATGGATAGCCTGTTGGACTTCTAATCCAAATGCCGTGGGTTCGTTTCTCACCTGGGGTGGCCTAATTTACGAGAATGTGATTTCTTTTTACTATACTATTTTATTAGAATAATTAAATTTAATAAATGAATAAATGGAAACAAACAAAAAAGATAATCTAACACCATATAAAGAAAGAAGAATGGAAAATTGCAAGGAAAATCGCTTTCTATTCGTCCCTGAATATTGTGATTTTATCATTTGTATACACACATTTATATTAATTGTAATTGTTTAATAAAAGGTAACTAAAATAAAATTTTTCTTTGTTGACCTAGGTAGGAATTGACTAAATTTTTTTATATATTGCTTTTTTTTTTTTTGGATATTTTTTTTTTTCTATGTTTAAAGTTTGCTTAACATTTTCAGGTTGCTTGTTTTGGACCGTACACAAATTTTCTAAGCACTGCCACTGAAGGTTAAAAATTGTGATGTACGATCAAGTGACAAGGTCGACACTGGCACTGGCACCCATTTCATGTGAAATATGCTTGTGTGAAATCTCATAATAAATTACTCGGAAAGAAATTTTTAATTGATGTCACATCCAATAACGTCTTGTAAAAATATCTTGAATCGTATATTTTTTAAAACTGCATTCATAAATTATTTATTGAAGCAAACGATATTTTTAATTTAATCCAAAACATGGTTCATTTTAAAATTAATTAGTCCCGAAAAGTTTATTGAATAGGCCACAATTGACAAAAGAAAAATGCCTAAGTTCCTAAATAATATTTTTTATCACAATTTTGGGTATTCAGAAAGTTATTTAAGTGCTTATAATATAATTTTCATTTTGTTTTTGCATTCTTTTATGTAAAGAACATATAAAATAAAGTTCTTAATATTTAAAAAAAATTAATATAAATTAATTATTTTGATCATACTTGCCTTCAAATTATTGTAAAAAATGAAGTAAACTCGTAAACCATAAGCAAATTTCAATAATAATATTTATTGTAATTCTTCAGCTAAACCAGGGGTGCCAACCCAAAAAACCTCGTGGGTCGCTTCGGAAAAACATTATAATCTCGTGGGCTACATATATTATATACCTTCATATTAGATTTGAACCCATTTACAAACATTTATTGGAGTGAAAGTTTAAAACAGAATGACGTATTTTACTGCTTTCATCGTTTCTCATGTATACAAACATAGATAATATAATAATGATAATGCAATGATCAAATAATGTTTGATTTATTTAATTAGTGAGATATTTGTTTCTCATCTCATTCACTTAGTTTTCGAAGTCGATCTCAATGTGTGTATTTGCGCATGGTAATTAATGTTGTAGAGTTTCGTCAGTTAAGTTTAAGCGCGACTTATGTTTGATGCATTTCATTTTCGAAAAAAAATATTCACTATAACAGAAGCAACGTGATAAAATAGAAACAGTTATGGGATTTATTTATTAAAAAAAAACTAAAAACAAAATAATTGCACAAGATAGTTTTATTTTGTAAAGTTTTGATGAATCTCGCTGGCAGCAAAATTATTCAAGGTGGGCCGGGCCGTGGGTTGGCCACCCCTGAGCTAAACTTTCAAAACATATATTATTTTAAAACAATGTTACTAATTGTAACATAATCTTTAGTGCCTTAAATTAATTGTTAGAGCACTGAATTATTAAGATCTATTTTGCATCATATTAAAAAAGATACTTATAAATTTTAAAGACATTTACTCTCCTTTGAGAGCCTCCTTTCCTGCAACCGGATTGGCTAAGCATCGTTCCACCCACTCTCATCACAATAAATAAATAAATACAAAATCTTTTCTAAGTCAAGATCTTTTTCATCAGTTTTTATCTTTGTCGTAGTCTCTCACTACCCCTATGATTATTAACTCTCCTTTGCATATTATCTAAATTTGGGTATGTTGGATTCATGATTAACGACTACTTAATTAATAAATCAATATTATTTATTAAAAAATATTTCTTACTAGAGAAATATACAAATATTAATCAAACTTTAAGAACAACAAATTACAGTGGAGTGCGATAAGAATTCAATTATGAACGGCGGAACACTAACTGAAACCACGGAGAATAACGTATACAATCAAACTACGCATTTATATCTAATTTATGTAAATAACTGACCTGATACCTTTTTAAGGCAAGTTTCTCAAATACTGGAAGGATCTAAGGAACGGCTTCAATCTTTGATATCTTCAGTTCCGTCTCGAACCGAATTAATGAACCTTTTTCAATAATCTTCCTCCGGCGAATAAACTTCCACTAGTTAAACTAATCTCTCAGAATCACCTTCTTAATCAACCTCGTAGTTATCCTCTATCTCTTCATTTCATTTCTCCCTTTTATATCTTTTTCGAACTCGCTAAACCCGAAACTATCTTGTTTGCATAAGTCACACCTTTGGCTCTCGGCGGGGATTGGTTAAAATAAATACAATCTTTAAGGATTTGAGAGAAGGTTAGTGAAACGCGTAAGCACCCGTCACATCTTTATTTTATTATTATTATTATTTTTTTTTGTAAATTTATTCCTTGTCAGAGTTATTTCTCTTTTTACTTTTTTTAAACGTTATTTTTTAAATTTTAATGTTATTTATTAAAAAGGGCAATTTGAAAGCGTTTTAATGTCATTCAAAATGTCCTGAATGGAGATGAAGGTTCGGAAGAACTAAGTACTCCCACCCCACCAAACTACAAACTCCTTTGGAACTATTTAGAGGCCGCAGTAGTCTACTGATAATGATCATGGATTGGTGGAAAGGGAAGAGAGGTGGGAGGCCCCTAACCACCTCCAGGGTGTTCTCCCTCAAAATTGCAGTGAGATCGAGCCAAATCGTATTGTCACCTGTATAGTGCTCAAAGCTAGGACTAACTACAGGCGTACATATAGCCCTTTTCCGCGATGAATTTCGTGGCCTCGATCTGACGCCGTCAAACAGGTGGTATTAACAACACAGCAACCACAGGTCAGACAAAGTATAATAAACAGTAAAATAAAAGCAATGATTAGCAATATATTCTTTTAAAAAATAAAGCTTATTCAACTGTTGATGTTTCTTTCTAAAAATAATCCAGATCTCCCGTGGAATCAATTAACTTTATCGAAACAAACACAAATGGAAGAAAATAAATATCATAAAGCTGTTGATGGGATTTGAGAACTAATTACAATTGGAAAAACAATTATGATATGTGTTGCATATCTATTATTGTGTATCATAAATTTCAAGAAAATAATGAAAAAAATAATAAGTGTTTTTGTTTACCTTCGTCAAAACATATTACCTTGATTTTAACAAGACCACTTTTAATCGTTATGATACATTGCGACTGCATAATGATTTGAGATAAGTATTTCTTGAAGTATCCGACTACGAGCGGGAGCGGTCGGAACCGTAGTTTTGTTTGACCGGCTAACGTAGTGGTTATGCATTAGGAAAGGAGCGACTCATTACACGTTCATCTGAGAAGTGTTGGAGCAATAGCGCCTTCACGGATCCATGAATATGTGAGGGTGCACCATCCTGCATGAAAATGGTCGATGCAAGGATCCGCCTTTGCTGTAGTTCAAGCATAACAAGCATCTGCAGCAGCAGCATGTCATGGTACCAACGGCCTATAACGGAACATGTGTCCTTACTTCCACCGATTTCCTCAAAAAAGTATAGCCCAAGGATGAATGGCGCTGTGAATCCACACCATGCAGTGGCCTTTGAAGACTGTGGGAAAATTTCAATGTGGATCCGCGGATTTTTCTTAGCCCAAATGCGGCAATTCTGTGTGTTGACTGTCTTATTGAGTTGGAAAGTTAGAAATGAGCCTCTTCACTCCACAGAATATTCCAAGGTCATGACAGGTCAACAGTCATTATTTTGAGAAAACTAACTGCGAATGAGAGATGTTATGGCTTGTCCCTATCAAGCAGCTCCTGGGTATGGTGGATCTTAAATGGGAAGTAGGGCATAATGTTTCTGAGTACTTTTCGAACGGTGCTGTAAGAATAGACTGTCTGTTGAGAAACTACACGCGTGCTACTGCCCCCAAACTCTCATGTCAATGCTTCAACAGCTGTCTTGTGTCATCAACAAGTATCGGTGCTACACTTTTACGGTCTCTTCCAGGTTGAACTACTAACTTCCCCGTCTCTTCAAATATCTTAATCATGGCCGGGATACCTTTAGTAGACATTGGTATACGCCGTAGGTTCATTCTACGATGAAATTCACTAACTGCAGCTTAAGCATTTCCCTTGTTTTCGTAAAGCCGCTTCACCAATAACGCACGTTCAGCTAAAGAGACTGTTTTTAGTACGGCCAGAATCATCGACTTAAGCATGACAACGTCTGCAAAACGCCTTATGTCTTAACCAGGGGCGTAACGTACACTTCCACAACCCGCACTGCTGGGGCCCAGCGACTGTAGGGGCTCAAAGCTTGACTGACGCTAAGTACGTATTTGGGCTTGGAGCCCAAAACTGAGTTTGCAGGGCACCTGAATATTCTCCTTTACGCCACTGACCTTAACCTGTGTTTTGCATAAAGCTTCCTCTTCTCTTCCCAAGCATATAAATCTCCGCATTTTTTCTCCTGCAGCTGACAGCTTTTCCTGGTTTTACTTTCCATTGCTCATAATTCTTGTTCTGGATTGTTAATATTGTTTCTGTATTCCGTTTCGGTTGTTTATTGTGTTAAATTTTATGTTTTTCCCCGAAAAGGCACCCTCTGGTGGACATTTTGGAACTAAATTTTTTTCCCTTCAAAATTCCGTGAGCGCATCTCGTATATAGCCCATGTACAAAATTTCGTTGCATTTCTTTCACCCGTTTACGCTGTAGGATGCCGTTTGTAGGGGAAATTTAATTATGACACCCGGTATGTGTATTCTAATTCAGGTGACACTAAATATCACAAATCGTTTCTTCATTTATACACTTTTTCAAAATCACGGTTCCGAAATAATCGAATACCTTAGTACAACAATAAATAGGTGGAAACATAGAAAAAAGTATTAGAAACTCATTCATGTCTCTTCT